CAATGACCTCTCAAACAGTCCTAGACATGTGTCCTGTGATGATATGTAAGGTAGAATGGTCAATGACCTCTCAAACAGTCCTAGATATGTGTCCTGTGATGATATGTAAGGTAGAATGGTCAATGACCTCTCAAACAGATTGAAGACCTAGACATGTGTCCTGTGATGATATGTAAGGTAGAAAGGTCAATGACCTCTCAAAAAAGACTGATGTCCTAGATATGAGTCATGTGGTGATATGTAAGGTAGAATGGTCAATGACCTCTCAAACAGTCCTAGACATGTGTCCTGTGACGATATGTAATGTAGAATGGTCAATGACCTCTCAAACAGTCCTAGACATGTGTCCTGTGATGATATGTAAGGTAGAATGGTCAATGACCTCTCAAACAGTCCTAGACATGTGTCCTGTGATGATATGTAATGTAGAATGGTCAATGACCTCTCAAACAGTCCTAGACATGTGTCCTGTGATGATATGTAAGGTAGAATGGTCAATGACCTCTCAAACAGTCCTAGACATGTGTCCTGTGACGATATGTAATGTAGAATGGTCAATGACCTCTCAAACAGTCCTAGACATGTGTCCTGTGATGATATGTAAGGTAGAATGGTCAATGATCTCTCAAACAGATTGAAGTCCTAGATATTTGTCCTGTGACACAATAGTCAATGAATTCCCAAATACCTCCTCATCCCTGCCAAATTTCCTGGGATAATGGCAAGTACTCACTCCTGGAAATGACATACTGAACTAATCATATGATGTTCAGTGTTTTGCAAGTTGGTCAGCACCAATGCCATGGATTCTGTGAATCAGTTCTGGTGTTGCTGATGTGACAAGGCTTTCTAGGACAGGTTTCATTCACCTTTAGTCCTATCACTCCTACACATAAACTCTGCCAACCTCATAAATAGCAGAGGAATGGGTATCGTTTCCCCCTATGATACTAATAGCTTCATAGATGGCTTTCAGTTTTAATCTCTATTTCTGCAAGAACTTGATCACTGCAAGTTACTCAAGTCTGTCTATTTGCAAAAAGTTTGAGACCACTGCATATTTTCCTACCTGTCACAGCAAAACAATTTGCTCAAATGACTCAGGCAGACATACCTCTATGACATCATGTAATGTCCACAAACAAAAGGTTCGACCGCTAGGCAGCTGCTCCGTTGAAGTCCAGAACCAGCACACCCTCCTACATTCTGATATCTTTTTATTCAGTTACATTGAGCTAGTCAACATTTAAACCACAGTTGATACAGTAACTGTATAATTCATCTCTAAGCATTATAGGTAGGGCTGGATATTGATATAGTTCATAGAGATGGACAATATTTAACTATGATTACACAATGCCATTTAGAAAGTGGTCAAATGTAACATATGTTACACTTTCTTAGTAAAGTACAAATTCTAGTACTTTTTGAGTTGAGCCCCATCCGGGTTTCGAACTCACACCCTCAGAGTCAGGCACCTAATCGCCTAATATTTAACTAAATATAAAAAATATCAGAGAAGTAACTTTGAGCAAAAATGTAAAAGGTTTCAAATGAAATCAAGATATTTCAAGTCACTGTCCTGTGTAGACACATTTTTACATTGCTTAATAATAAAAACAGTGTTCTGAAAATTATACAGAAAAAATATGTAAGTTTGTGTTTAATGTGTAATTTTATACCTTATTTCATCACAAATGTTTATGTAAAATATTATTAATGTCACAATTTTCATATTGATAACTGTTAATAATCCTTCCTATCAATTATATTTCCACTAATCAATCATTCTAGTCAGCCCCAGTTTTAGGGGGTATAGTTTGCTAGTTGTCTTTCATAGAGATGCATTCCTAAAAGTGCGGCATAATCATGTAACTACTGATAACATGCAACAAGGTTGCAACATCAGAACACCCTAATCATAATGATCATACAACTCGATGAAATCAAGTTGTAGGACGACTACAAGTCTGCAATTAATGATTAGTTAAACCAACAACAGGTGGGAAATTTGGTTAGTGGAACAGCATGTATGGCAACAACATACACTGACTTGCGATTACATCTAGAATATAACCAGTATTCGCTACAATTGATTAATACATAACAACCTCAACAAAATAACTGAAGGAAACAGTGAAACTGGTCTGTTACAACTCAGGTAATGGGATACTTTATCATAGCTGCTCAAATTCTGTGCAACAAATTATCTATGCAGTGACCATACACAAGACAGAAAATTTGGTTGTAACAAAACTCTTTTCATTAAAAATTAAAAATATCAACCGATGAGTAAAATGAATTGTTATCAAAGCTTATCAAACATTCTTGGGTGATTTAGTTTTTGAAACTGATTTCAATGTCACACTGTTGTGCCAGAAACTGCCACTGCATAAAGCTTGTCACTGAGACCACCATTGAGCGGTAGTGTATGCTGGCTTCATTTACACAGAATGCGACACAGCTATAGGCTACCTTCAAACAGGTCGTCATCAACCTTATCAGCATCAGCATCGTCTAAACCCTCATCAACATACAGGATATCTTCTGAAAACCAATCATGAATGCTGAGTGATAGAGGATAGGTACCTCCCCTATCCACAGCCCTATGTACAACTAAATCCTACACTTTACACATCTCTTCCTCCTTTCATTTAAAATATTGGAATATAGTATCTTGAAAATGTGAAAGTCAAACAAAAATAACTTCAGATTAGAGTACACCCTAATCCTGAAAACATTTCAAAATCAATATGTTTCTTCCTAATCTGGCACTGATAAGAACCAATAGCCCCAACAAGAGCACACTGGGAACTATTAACTAGTGCTTGTTTTCTCCACTCAGTGCCATGTCAGCGCAGTGACAAATGACCTACAGTTAGCATGGAGTTGCTTCCCTTGAATCAATTCTGTTCTCCTGCATCGTTATTTGGTCACAGAAGACATCCAGATGCATACAAATCTGGGAAAATCAACTCCTATAGTTGTCTTCTTCCTGACAACCCTTTAGAAAATGGACTAACTTCCTGAATATATTTGTGAAAGGAAGCAAGTGTGGTCCAATCACATCTTAAGGTTCTTGGATCTGATTTGTCTGAAATTTTGGTTTCCATAGTAACAGTGTTATGTCATTTTGCTTGCAAGACAGCTGAAAGTCTCTTAAATTGAAATCATATGTTTGGGGGCCACAGAGAGACATAGAGGGAGTGCAGAGCAATGCACCCATTGTTGTAGTAGCTGTTTGACCAGAATCAATTATTCACCTTCCAGCTGTCTGAGCCAGACAGAAATGACATTACTGTATTACAGACAGGGATTCTGTAACTCATGTGCCCAACTCCTCCAGGTGATTTATGGTAGTTGTTGCAAATTAAATCAGTCTTTCATAACAAGAACTGCCTTGCCAGTAAATTACCCTAAAGAAATTACCATACACCTTAAATCGTGGGTATTTCTAATCAGAGCTCCAAATAAGCTTTTGACTATGTGGGTATGATACCCATACTTTTGAAACTATGTGGGTATTTCCAATTTCAAGTGGGTATCTACACTTTTTGATACCCAACATATTTTTTAAATCCGGGTATCATTTCAAATAATAAGTTTAAGAGGTGCTATGTTTTTTTATTAAATAATAGAGATGAGACAAAAACCTCCAGGTTAAAGATGAATAATTAATAATGCTAAATTATAGCTAATAGCTAATACAGCTTTATCCACTTGTGCTGTAAGAAATAATATATGGCTTAGTCTACATCCGTTTTGGTGTAAAAGTGAGTGAGTGAGTGAGTTTAGTTTTACAGTGACATGTAACACTACAACATAACCTCATAAGTCTTTTCAAAATTAACCATGGATATTTTATTTTCCACGTAGCAACTGTTCTTTTCAAAACCTTGTTCCCATCGTGTTGTTTCACTTCCGCGAATAGCTAAGATACACATACAGTAGAGTTGACTTATGTGAGCGCTATGTATCTTAGCTACGCCGCGAAGTTCATTTAAGATATCACCGGCAATTGATTCTGATTGTGAAACACAGCACTTGCCTATTAATTCATATAGCAGTCCTTTAATGAAGTTGTTTTCTGTTTGTAGCGTGAAAAAGACTAGATATTTTACTTTGAGAGTGTGGAAGCTTTCGACCACGCTTGCTCACCATTATGGATTTGTTTACAGGACACGTAGAAAGAAAACATCTATTTGATTGGTCGCTATTCATAGATGAGCCAAGCAGTGAAGGGTTATCAAACCAAGACTGGTATTCTATCTGAGTTGTGCATCTTAATTACATTTAGAATTATTCAAGATTCTTGTAATCGCGAATATTTTGAGATGAATTGATACGCTACGCAACATGATTTTGATGTATTGGGTAAATACGCATTGTTATTTTAGCGTAACATAGCGTAAACATAAATATTTAGTGTTTTTTCTTTAGCTGGCATTTATTTTCCTTGCATATTTCAACTTTTCTTTAGCGTATTATATGCAAATACGCAGCTTATCTGGAGCTCTGTCTAATGACATATTTCTGTGGACGTTTTTTACAGGTTATAGTACTAAGGCGTACAATATCTGCTGCATTGACAGAACTGGCATGTATGCAACCTCAACTGTTCTTCATGTATCTACACTGGATTCATCATGTTCTCAACCCATATCACACAGCAGTTCGTTAGACAAACTAGTTGTTGATAGAATGGTGCCAGGATACGAACACAGCCAATCAACCAAGTCAAAGACTTAAGTCATCTCTCGGCTTTATAGTGCTGCTGACTTGACACAGAAGACATTACTACCCAATGACATCTAATCGACAGTCTGTTGACTTTTGATAGTAAATAAGTCACAATGATCCTGTACTTTACTTACTGGAACCATTGTATATACCTGACACATGCACTGACCTTTGTGGCAGTACAAGCTGCACTTCACTTACCTAAATCTGACTTTGGCCGTGGTCGTTTGCGTATTGCCTGCCCATCGTTCCTGTAGGTGACGTTGGTCTCCCTCACCTGCTCCAGGAGGTCTGCCCAGCGCACTGTGATGTCCGATTTAGGACGTTCCTGCTTCGGTGAAGGTGTTTTCCTCAGCTTCACTGGCATGTTGATGGGCGTGGCCGTGTCGGGGGATACCTGCATACATAAGGTCACGTCAGTTTCCACACACTCACTGCATGTCCGCTATAGACTTCCACTGTGCTGCTTATTGTGGGAGAAAATATTGGAGAGAAACCAAGAACAATAACCATACCGTCTCAGTTCACACCAATGGATTTCCCAGTCCATCCATCTAACAATGGATTATAACTGATATAAGATCTATACAATACTACACAATCAATACAATATTTGTATTGCCATAAAATTTCCGAGTCTTGTGCTGGGATTTGAACCATGATGCTTCTGATCCAAAGTCGGATGCCTTGTCCACATGACCAAAGAGGTTATTGCAGTCACGAAGCCAACTCCACGCCCTGCTACACTATAACGTTTAACGAAATATGAACATTCAGAAAGATAATGTTATCAGCACTTTGTCATAGCCCTTTAACCAATATTTTGACGAGTTAAAAACAAGCACATAGTAAAGTGTACATGTGTCTGTAAACTGTCCATGTGTCCACCCAGATATTTGTGGATATCCCGAGCCTCCATGCTTCATGGCTGGTGCTGGTAAACAGACCTCAGCACTCATCAACACATACTTGTTTACTCCGGCCACTTCAGACAGACAACATAAGTGTCATCCTTTTACATACTAATGTTGTGAGTAGGCTTAATACAATTGAATTTGGACATGCTTTGAACTTTGACGTAAGTCTACCCATAATAAAGTGAAGCTGGCTGCCATAACATTACTGTCACTTGTGTCAGAGACATCTCAACGTCTCATAATGAAGCTCTTCACTCTTAACAAAACAATCCCTATTTGACAACATACTCAACATGTGATAAAGTCCTACTAATTAGTATTTGTATCTGACTTTCCACCTGTATCTTGATTCACTTTAGAGGAAGTACTCAGACATTGATGGTTCCCTGATGCATGATGGCTGTGGTCCAGTACTCCATGTAAGCTGTCAGGGTGGCTGTGGTCCAGTACTCCATGCAAGCTGTCAGGGTGGCTGTGGTCCAGTACTTAATGTAAGCTGTCAGGGTGGCTGTGGTCCAGTACTTAATGCAAGCTGTCAGGGTGGCTGTGGTCCAGTACTTCATGCAAGCTGTTAGGGTGGCTGTGGTCCAGTACTTAATGTAAGCTGTCAGGGTGGCTGTGGTCCAGTACTTAATGCAAGCTGTTAGGGTGGCTGTGGTCCAGTACTTAATGTAAGCTGTCAGGGTGGCTGTGGTCCAGTACTTAATGTAAGCTGTCAGGGTGGCTGTGGTCCAGTACTTCATGCAAGCTGTCAGGGTGGCTGTGGTCCAGTACTTAATGCAAGCTGTTAGGGTGGCTGTGGTCCAGTACTTAATGTAAGCTGTCAGGGTGGCTGTGGTCCAGTACTTCATGCAAGCTGTCAGGGTGGCTGTGGTCCAGTACTTAATGCAAGCTGCCAGGGTGGCTGTGGTCCAGTACTTCATGTAAGCTGTCAGGGTGGCTGTGGTCCAGTACTCCATGTAAGCTGTCAGGGTGGCTGTGGTCCAGTACTCCATGTAAGCTGTCAGGGTGGCTGTGGTCCTGTACTTAATGTAAGCTGTCAGGGTGGCTATGGTCCAGTACTTCATGTAAGCTGTCAGGGTGGCTGTGGTCCAGTACTTAATGTAAGCTGTCAGGGTGGCTATGGTCCAGTACTTCATGTAAGCTGTCAGGGTGGCTGTGGTCCAGTACTTAATGCAAGCTGTCAGGGTGGCTGTGGTCCAGTACTTAATGTAAGCTGTCAGGGTTGCTGTGGTCCAGTACTTAATGTAAGCTGTCAGGGTGGCTGTGGTCCAGTACTAATGCAAGCTGTCAGGGTGGCTGTGGTCCAGTACTTAATGCAAGCTGTCAGGGTGGCTGTGGTCCAGTACTTAATGTAAGCTGTCAGGGTTGCTGTGGTCCAGTACTTAATGTAAGCTGTCAGGGTGGCTGTGGTCCAGTACTAATGCAAGCTGTCAGGGTGGCTGTGGTCCAGTACTTAATGCAAGCTGTCAGGGTGGCTGTGGTCCAGTACTTAATGCAAGCTGTCAGGGTGGCTGTGGTCCAGTACTTAATGTAAGCTGTCAGGGTATAGAACCTGTATACATGCTACAGTTAGCCAGAACCATCTTTATCCTACTGTCTCACCTGTTTCCTGTTTACAACACATCTGTGGTTTGCTTTATCCTATTTAATTTACAACACATCAGTGGTTTGCTTTATCCTATTTAGTCTACAACACATCAGTGGTTTGCTTTATCCTATTTAGTCTACAACACATCAGTGGTTTGCTTTATCCTATTAAGTCTACAACACATCATTGTTTTGATTTATCCTGTTTAGTTTACAACACATCAGTGGTTTGCTTTATCCTATTTAGTTTGCTTTATCCTATTTAGTCTACAACACATCAGTGGTTTGTTTTATCCTATGTAGTTCGCTTTATCCTATTCAGCTTGCTTTATCCTATTTAGTTTGCTTTATCCTATTTAGTCTACAACACATCTGTGGTTTGCTTCATCCTATTTAGTTTACAACACATCAGTGGTTTGCTTTATCCTATTTAGTCTACAACACATCAGTGGTTTGCTTTATCCTATTTAGTCTACAACACATCAGTGGTGCTTTATCCTATTTAGTCTACAACACATCAGTGGTTTGCTTTATCCTATTTAGTTTGCTTAATCCTATTCAGCTTGCTTTATCCTATTTAGTTTACAACACATCAGTGGTTTGTTTTATCCTATTTAGTTTGCTTTATCCTATTTAGTTTACAACACATCAGTGGTTTGTTTTATCCTATTTAGTTTTCTTTATCCTATTTAGTTTACAACACATGAGTGGTTTGTTTTATCCTATTTAGTTTGCTTTATCCTATTCAGCTTGCTTTATCCTATTTAGTTTGCTTTATCCTATTTAGTTTGCTTTATCCTTTTTAGTTTACAACACATCAGTGGTTTGTTTATCCTATTTAGTTTGTTTTATCCTATTTAGTTTGCTTTATCCTATTTAGTTTACAACACATCAGTGGTTTGCTTTATCCTATTTAGTTTACAACACATCAGTGGTTTGTTTTATCCTATTTAGTTTGCTTTATCCTATTTAGTCTACAACACGTCAGTGGTTTGCTTTATCCTATTTAGTCTACAACACATCAGTGGTTTGCTTTATCCTATTTAGTCTTCAACACATCAGTGGTTTGCTTTATCCTATTTAGTTTACAACACATCAGTGGTTTGCTTTATCCTATTTAGTTTACAACACATCAGTGGTTTGCTTTATCCTATTTAGTTTACAACACATCAGTGGTTTGCTTTATCCTATTTAGTTTTCTTTATCCTATTTAGTTTACAACACATCAGTGGTTTGCTTTATCCTATTTAGTCTACAACACATCAGTGGTTTGCTTTATCCTATTTAGTTTGCTTTATCCTATTTAGTTTACAACACATCAGTGGTTTGCTTTATCCTATATAGTCTATAACACGTGTGGTTTGCTTTATCTATATATTTTATCACTCGTCTGGGTATTGCTTTACCCTATAGAGCTTATCACACATCTGTGCCTTGCTTTATCCGATATAGTTTATTACATATCTGCATGCTGCTTTATCCTATGAAGCAAGCCATCAGGTCATTCGGTATTGGCTGTGTTGATAATGTCAACGTTTCACATGAAAACATTTGACATTTGCTGCTTTCCTTTCTAATAATAACAGCAAATGTTTCCTGCAGTGATTAATTCAGGAAACTAAATTAGAAGTTAATGCTGTTTCAGCCACTCAGTGTATGTGTATATACGTGATAGTAGCTACAGCCATGTTGGCAACACATTGGTACTGATGCCGACCAGAAGGGCACCATGGCGAGTGGGGGCCTTGTGGGAAGAAATCCTGAAGTGGAGCAGATAATGAGCATGTATCACTTTTGTGAACCACACAGGCCTGCACAAAGCAGACAGACCAAGGGTCATAATCTGGATCAAACAGGAAGTAAAGACAGAACAGTGGATCCTCACATGACCAAGGGATGCAACTCTGCAGACAGTCATATGACCAAGGGATGCAACTCTGCAGACAATTATATGATTGAAGCAGACTATTATGATTTCCTTTGAAGGGGCTGCTAATCACAGTGACTCTCTGCTAGGCATATGTTAACAAACACCCTATAGAAAAGCAACAGTATAAAATTCACACATATTTAGTTATTTAGCAACTTATACTTGAGGAAGTCTGCAGATCCATGTCAAGAGTGTTTAACTTTTTCTTCAATTTGTAAATACAAGATGACTTAATCTTACTCTTCATAATGATATGACCAGTGTATCTTCCTTTGTACCTGACCTACTAGCTACAGTGCCAATATTCACACGTTATCATAGAGTGAGGACATTAATCACTAATCAGCTTTACAGATTTGCACAATGCAGCATTCCTGAGGTCATCTTGGCATAAACTATGGGCATGTCTGATATTCTCAGCAGGACCATCGAGGCAACAGATTTACTTATATCGTTCAACAGGAACAATTCACATCCAATGCATGTTTCAAAGGCTATATACAAAGATAAACGCTACCAAGTAATGTACCCTTGCTTACTATTTATCAACCTACTGAATCTGGCGATTTCTCAGAGCTACCTATCCTTCCTGACATGTTTAATACTTGCTTTGACTGATATAATTTTTGCTTGGGGTGCTCTTATCCCCTAATTGGGTAGTGTTTCATTTGACAGCTGTCAATCCTACATACTTGCTGGTGGCTCCCTGCAGGGTGGTGACAGGTTCAGCCAAGAATGCACAGTGGAGCTGTTATACATAGACACTTCCTAGTCCCCATACACCACTGCTACAGTCTACGTCAGGAAACACCATCTCACGAGTCACACTCAAGTAACAATCAACCTATTATTAGCTATAAGGATAATCATCCTATTATTCACTAATTATAACAGAAGCCATTGTTTGTTTAACTGTAGTAATTAGAATCTTCTTTGTCAAGTTCAAATCCCTCTTAATGCTGTTACATGAAGTGCATTTTCATTTTGAATTTCAACGTTAGTACACTTATCCAAGTATGACAATACTCACAACCTATTTCCATTGTTTATGTTGAGGTATATGTTGAGGTTTATGTTGAGGTTTTTGTTGAGGTTTATGTTGAGGTTTACGTTGAGGTTTATGATGAGGTTTATGATGAGGTTTATGATGAGGTTTATGTTGAGGTTTACGTTGAGGTTTATGATGAGGTTTATGATGAGGTATATGTTGAGGTTTACGTTGAGGTTTATGAGGTTTATGATGAGGTTTATGTTGAGGTTTATGTTGAGGTTTACGATGAGGTATATGTTGAGGTTTATGATGAGGTTTATGTTGAGGTTTATGTTGAGGTTTATGTTGAGGTTTACGTTGAGGTATACGTTGAGGTTTGTGATGAGGTATATGATGAGGTTTATGTTGAGGTTTATGATGAGGTTTACGTTGAGGTTATATGTTGAGGTTTGTGATGAGGTATATGATGAGGTTTATGTTGAGGTTTATGATGAGGTTTATGTTGAGGTTTATGTTGAGGTTTACGTTGAGGTTTATGTTGAGGTTTATGTTGAGGTATATGTACTACTGCTATGATAAAAGGGAAGCCTGAAATCATTGATACAGATGTGACTACTCAGTTACAGGTATATGTTTACTAGATCAATTATAACACATAGAATACAATTATATACAGCAATAATGTCAGGTTAGATATTTTGACTTTTTGTAATATGACTGTAACAAAAAGTAAATCAAATATTCCAATGTTTTAAACCTACTATTCACCGTAATAAAGAAGTACATGTGAGTGTGGAAGTGATGTGGGTTTATGTAACACACAAACAGGGTGGACCTGGACCTGAGTATGATGTGGGTTTATGTAACACCAGGGTGTGAGTGTGATGTGGGTTTATGTAACACACAAACAGGGTGGGCCTGGACCTGAGTATGATGTGGGTTTATGTAACACACAAACAGGGTGGACCTGGACCTGAGTATGATGTGGGTTTATGTAACCCACAAACAGGGTGGACCTGAACCTGTATTAGTGGCAATGTATTACTCTACTTGTCCAGCAAACTCACCTGTGTTCGTATATGATGGATGGACCTGTATCAACCATGATGATGTGCATCTCTTAAGGAAACTAAAAGGGAATGCTATCTTACCTTGAGGGATTCACAGCTGGACAATATAACAGCATCATGTTGTATTCCACTGTCATTGCTGTTGCTTGAAGTTATCTCCCCTCGTACAAGTTTTCCTGACAGTTTTTCAAATTCCTGGGGGGGACATCTGATCACGCCGAGGATTCAACCTATTTGGATGCACCGCAACAGATTGGACAAAGTCCCCAGAATGTGGAGATGCAGGGAGTGTGGCGTCCCGCTCACTGTCAACTATGGACGGAGACGAAGATCGTGGTGTAAGTGTATCATCTGCTCCTATGTCAAACTCACATATACTGTATTCTCCAGAACTCCTATCTGGTAATGAACCTTGCTTCATGGAGCCCGAAGAGCTCTGTCTTCGCCTGGGTGGAACGTCTGGTCGAGTTAGACCAGGCCTGGAGCCACTCCTGGTGATTGATTGGCTGAGGGGTGGTGATTTCATGCTTGACTGAGATTCATCAGGACATCTTTGAACTGGCCTTCGAATCTGTATGTGTGGGTCTGTTTGTACTCTCTGTACACGTTTTGACACAAATGGAGAGTTTGGTAATGAACTGATAGCACCGATGTCTTCATCTTTAAGGAAAGCTGCAATTGGCGGACTGTCCGGTTCATCTGAACCTTTCCGTGTTTTTCGTTTGAACAAACTTTTTAATGACATACGTCTTACTATCGAAGTGTCTTTTCTGGATGTTCCCTCATCTTGAGGTAGTTTTGCCACTTTTTCTGAGAATGATTTTCGCTTAGACAACATTCTTTGGAAAAAGTTTGGACTTTTTGATCTTGATCTCTCACTTTTATCGTCTTGAACAGAGAGCCTTCTCCGACCATTCCTGGGATCAGACAACAATAAGTCCTGATTTACAGCTTCTCGGAAACTGTAGTTCCTTGTGTGACTTTGACCTTCATTGTCACCTTGACCTTCACACTGTTCTTGTAGATATGCATTTCTAAATAACTGTATATCATCTACAGAAACTGGACGATTTCCGTCATTGTCACGACCGGTTCTCCGTGGTAATGTGGACGATGCCGGCATCATAGCCAGACTGCTCTGACTAGAATGTGAGGAGGAGTCACTCCCCACATGGTTACAGTTCCAGTCCAGCGGTTGATTGTAGAACACATCACTATCCACTAAATGCTGGTTTAACAAGGACAACAGTTCATCTCTTATGGACAGGTCTGACAGAATGGATAGAGTGTCTTCGTTGCTGTTCACATCAGTGACTGACTCGGAGCTTGTAGCTGGTACACCTCCGGTGCTGACAGTGGCACTCTCACTTCCAGTGTAGGGTTGAGGGATTGTCTCTGGTTCAGCACTAGGTGGCTCTGCCACAAAGTGTCCATCAACATATGTGATTTTGACATCCCCATACGACAAAGTCCCACTTGGAAGACTCAAACTACGACGTCCTGACTTCTTCCTATGCAACCGCCGTGGAGTTGTCCCCCCTGGCTGTTCAGCAACTTTGACAGGACTAGCAGAAGCACTTCGATGCTGTTCCGTCTCAGTGCCCTCTACAGCCTCAAAACTTTCCTCGAGTTCTGAGATCTCTGCCAGGAGCTGAAAAACAATACAACAAGTTTTGAATACATGATTAAGGTTGTAAACAGCACATATGATTGTGTGCACAATACATGAGACCAAGCGGAAGTATCGGGTTTCCTATACAAAACACAGAAAAGCAGCTTGTATAAATGGGTTCACACAAAGCAGGGAAATTAATGAAAGAGCAGTTTATTGAAATGACTGTTCAAAGGTGAGGTTTGTATCAATTAGCTCATTTAGTTATATGATTTACCTTTTAACCAGAATCAGCTGGGGGTTGGGAATCAAGGCATTACTAGTTATAACCAGAAAATCGGTAACTTGTAACATTCTGGTCAGAGGAATTGTCAGGAAGTCAACTCTCATTGAATTTCTGAATGTTATAACTTTTTAAGTAAGAATCTCCTCAGCCTCCTGCTTCATGTTCAGATAGATCACAACTATGTACTGTCATCACAGTGTGAAAGAGAAACATGTAGTGAAAGGTCAACAAATTACAGAAGTTTCACTTTTAGATGCAGGAACTGACTTCCCAGAAGTGATAACAAACTGATAATGAAATCACCATGACAACATAATAATGCATTACTGACTTTCTTCACTAATGCTGAAAAGATGAATTGGTAAGTCTTGTAAACTGTTAGATGCAGAAAAAACAACAACCCAAAGGTCATTCATAATCAGAAAATCAGCAATTACAAAGATTGTTACGCAATGATAAACTGCTTACCTCCCGGTGGCTAAGGCAGTAAGAATATATCTGCTCCATATACTTGCCTACCAACCCCTCCCGATGTTCCACCACCTAATAGCTCTCCTGGTCACAGCTACTTCAACTTCACATTACATACAGTATTTAACCAATCAGGCAACCTTCTCTTGCTTGTGCTTTTCCCCATCAATGCAGATTTTAATTACAAATAAGCCAAAGACAAAATGAGACAAGACTGAAGAACTTAACTGGGGGTGCTGTGTTAACATTTCAATTTCCTGACACTTACAGATATTACTACAATGTCTAGATCTGGAGTACCATTTGATACTTGAATGTGAAGATTTGGAAAAATATGGTAATAAATTCATATTTGTTTCAGTTTAAAATCAAAATAATCAACATTCAAAGAATATCCGAAGTGAAGGTTTTTGAAATGTCAAGCAATTCCATTGGACCGCACCCCTTGCGAGCCTCCATTAGTCTGGTAAATCACTTGTGTTAGTGGCGTTTGGACTCCCAAGACTAAATTAGCATCTGACAACACAGAGGACTGTGAACATCTGCAGCTACAGCGACATTGTTGTGGCCAGCCAGATCCGTCAGTCAGCTATGCTGTGCAAAATATTGTTAATTACATAATGGCCACATTATGTGGCAGCTTCAACAAGCTAGACTTGATGACAGTGTTCTGACAGCAAGCCATTGTTCTACAGGACCATATATAGAACACACTACAACCACACAAATGACGTCCATCAGTAACATGCACACATATTTTCACTTCAATTCTTAGTGAACAAAATTGTATTTCTGCAATGCAATATTTGCTTGCAAATAACATTGGGTTATGTGTACCCATTGTCAAAGTTTAATTAAAGTAATATTTCAGCTGCTTTGTAGCTTTAAGATCAAAAGACAAACTTACGATGATCACATTTAAACACAATCTATCCTGTCTTACAGCTAATTACTAAATCCACCTGATAACCACGTCTGACATGCCAGCGATGTGTGACCAAACAAATACTCACATGCAGTGAAATGGACATCAAATAAGCTATTTAGACACATTTTACATTATACGTCCCCATGTGTATAGATCAAACAGAGCTCCTACAGTCATGGTCTGACAGGCGTTTGAGATAAACACATACAAGTTATTGCGTTAAAAACATAAATCTGAAAACCATAAACAGAGAATAGCCCTTGGGGGAATAACACTGGTAGTGATGAACAAGTCACACAAACTTTCTATCCTCGTACATTCTTCCGATGTCGGCTGAACTGGGATTGGCATGAAAACACACACACACTGACAAAAGGCTGCATACCCACTCAGAATGGAAGAACACACTGTTCCACAGGCCTTTCTTTGAGTCACACAGTTCAGAGAGAGATGATGCTTTCACACCCACCATTAGAACAGATGTAAACCAGGAAGATATGTGACCTTCTCTAATTAACACCTTGAAACACAGGACATTCATTGATTAACTATAGATTGTTTTAACAGTTTGCAGAGCTCCAGATAAGATTTAGCTCATGTGGGTACTGTACCCACTGTATTTTTTTGGAGGGGTATTATGAATGTTGAGTGGGAATTTCATTTTTCGTTACCCACTGCTTTCAAATATGTGCGTATTTCAGTCACTTTACTCACCTAAGTATTATGTCATTGAGCAAGTTTACTAAGCAGGTATGTTCTGCCTTATGTCATACCTAATCAAAACCAACTTAAATATAATGGAAATGATTTCATAAAAAATCACTCATCCTATACTGAAGCAAGGACCACAACACATGCCAGAATCAGAGTAAATAACCATCAAATGTACATACAGGCCTGTGGATATAGATCTGAACACCATCAGTTCAATATCACCTAAATCTGTACATACAGATCTTAAGAACACCAACTAACAATGATGTATATCTGTAGATACAGATCTGAAGACTATGAGCTAACAATGACGTATATCTGTAGATACAGATCTGAAGACTATGAGCTAACAATGACGTATATCTGTAGATGCAGATCTGAAGACTACCAACTAACAATGACATATATCTGTAGATATATCTGTAGATGCAGATCTGAAGATGCACCAACTAACAATGACGTGACGTATATCTGTAGATACAGATCTGAAGACTACCAGCTAACAATGACTGTAGATACAGATCTGTAGATATCAATGACATATCTGTAGATGCTGAAGACTATGAGCTATCAATGACATATCTGTAATACAGATCTGAAGACTATGAGCGATATCTGTAGATGCAGATCTGAAGACTACCATCTAACAATGACACATATCTGTAGATACAGATCTGAAGACTACCAGCTAACAATGATGTATATCTGTAGATACAGATCTGAAGACTATGAGCTAACAATGACGTATATCTGTAGATGCAGATCTGAAGACCACCAACTAACAATGACGTATATCTGTAGATACAGATCTGAAGACTATGAGCTATCAATGACATATATCTGTAGATGCAGATCTGAAGACTATGAGCTAACAATGACGTATATCTGTAGATGCAGACCTGAAGACTACCATCTAACAATGACATATATCTGTAGATGCAGATCTGAAGACTATGAGCTAACAATGATGTATATCTGTAGATGCAGATCTGAAGACTACCATCTAACAATGACACATATCTGTAGATACAGATCTGAAGACTATGAGCTAACAATGAAGTATATCTGTAGATACAGATCTGAAGACTATGAGCTAACAATGACGTATATCTGTAGATGCAGATCTGAAGACCAGCAGCTACAATGATCTGTAGATACAGATCTGAAGACTATGAGCTAACAATGACGTATATCTGTAGATGCAGATCTGAAGACCACAGCTAACAATGACGTATATCTGTAGATGCAGATCTGAAGACTATGAGCTAACAATGACGTATATCTGTAGATGCAGATCTGAAGACTATGAGCTAACAATGATGTATATCTGTAGATGCAGATCTGAAGACTATGAGCTAACAATGACGTATATCTGTAGATGCAGATCTGAAGACTATGAGCTAAATGATGTAATGTAGATGCAGATATATCTGTAGATGCAGATCTGAAGACCATGAGCTAACAATGACGTATATCTGTAGATGCAGATCTGAAGACTATGAGCTAACAATGACGTATATCTGTAGATGCAGATCTGAAGACTATGAGCTCACAATGACGTATATCTGTAGCTGCAGATCTGCCGACCACAAAGCTAACAATGACGTATATCTGTAGATGCAGATCTGAAGACCATGAGCTAACAATGACGTATATCTGTAGATGCAGATCTAAAAACTATGAGTTAACAATGACGTATATCTGTAGATGCAGATCTGAAGACTATGAGCTAACAATGACGTATATCTTTAGATGCAGCTCTGAAGACTATGAGCTAACAATGACGTATATCTTTAGATGCAGATCTGAAGACTACCATCTAACAATGACGATATCTGTAGATGCAGATCTGCAGACCACAGCTAACAATGACATATATCTGTAGATGCAGATCTGATATCTGTAGATGCAGATCTGCAGACCACAGCTAACAATGACGTATATCTGTAGATGCAGATCTGAAGACCATCAGCTAACAATGATGTATATCTGTAGATGCAGATCTGCCGACCACAGCTAACAATGATGTATATCTGTAGATGCAGATCTGCAGACCACAGCTAACAATGATGTATATCTGTAGATGCAGATCTGCCGACCACAGCTAACAATGATGTATATCTGTAGATGCAGATCTGCCGACCACAGCTAACAATGATGTATATCTGTAGATGCAGATCTGCCGACCACAGCTAACAATGATGTATATCTGTAGATGCAGATCTGCCGACCACAGCTAACAATGATGTATATCTGTAGATGCAGATCTGCCGACCACAGCTAACAATGATGTATATCTGTAGATGCAGATCTGCCGACCACAGATCTGAAGACCACCAGCTAACAATGATGTATATCTGTAGATGCAGATCTGCCGACCACAGCTAACAATGATGTATATCTGTAGATGCAGATCTGCCGACCACAGCAATGATGTATATCTGTAGATGCATATCTGCCCGACCACCCAACTAACAATGATGCATATCTGCCTAATCATGTTAGAACAATGATGTAGATCTGCCTGACCACAGCTAACAATGATGTATATCTGTAGATGCAGATCTGCCGACCACAGCTAACAATGATGTATATCTGTAGATGCAGATCTGCCGACCACAGCTAACAATGATGTATATC